GGGGGGGCAGCGCGCCGCCTATAGGGAGGGGGGGGGGTCAGCGCGCCGCCTATAGGGAAGGGGTCAGCGCGCCGCCTATAGGGAGGGTTAATATGAGAATTACAGAGAGGGTCAGTGTGAGGCTTGCGGTGAGAGTGTAGTGCTGGGGGGAAGTTAGTATTAGGGTTGATGTGAGAGTCATAGGGTGGTATAGTGTTGAGGATAACAGGAAAGCTCAGTGTAAGGGTTAGTCTGAGCATTATGGGCACAGTCTGTGCGAGTTATGGGGAGGGTATAGCGTCGGGGTTACAGGGAAGGATGGTGTTAATGGGAAGGGGTTAATGCACAGCACATGTTACAACACACTTTACAATCTCACGCATTTTATGGCTCATTCACATGAACGTGCACACGCATACACTGTGCACGCCCATGCAGAGCCCTGCTCTCGGAAAGGACAGGTGCTGCATGCCAACTCGAACCTAAACACCCGTGCAGCTCCAGGTGCCCACACATGGCTGCAGGTTTGGGTCGGCGTGTAGCCGTGTCCTTCCATAGGGAGGTACAGGAGGCTGCACACAATTACACACAGCACCCGTCCCTCTCAATGCTCCCGATGCGAATGCCTCAAAATGTATAAATGTTTTTGTTAATCGCGGTGTCTAAAAGGCAGACCTACTTGCACCACGGCTGAGCTCCAGATAGAATAGGCATCCAGGGACTGTTTGATGAGCTTGTCCTTCAGTTCTTGCCACTTGCAGCGGATCTGAGGTTTATCAGGCTGCTTGCCCTTGCCGGTCTTTTTTGTAGACCTCGGCTCCCTCGTGCTGATATCCAGGCTACCAGATTTACCCAGAATGCACTGCTTCAAGTGCGGGCACAGTTCACCGAGTGACTGGCACAGCCTGGCCAAGAAAAGTACAGTGGCGACTTGGGAGCCGAGGAGGCCGTCGCCCCGACTGGCTAGCCCCGTCTCGGCTGCCGCTTGGAGCTGCACTTTAACGGAGTCCTGTATGTGCTGCATACAGGTCAGGCAATGCTGGCTCAGCATCTCCTGCACCGTGTTAGCGTCTCCATACCGATCGAAGGCCGAGAGTTTCAGTCCCGTGATGGCAGGTTTGCTCTGCTGGTCGGACGCCTCCTGCGGCAGGTAGGAGAAAAGGTCCTCCAGCTTGACTTTGAGTTTGGAGTCTAGAGCTTGACAGAAGGTCAGGACGCATGGAGTGACGGCCTGGGCCTTCAGAGACAAGGCGCTCCGGCACTGGGCGCTGCGGCTTGCCACGCTGACCCAGGCCGCGTCCGGTGGCAGGTCGTTCTGGTTTTCGGCCCACAAGAAGGCGCAGATATTACCCTCGTAATGGGTGTGTTTCAAGGCTTCCGTATTCCCTTCAAGCTCTTGAAGAGAAGACTGCAGTAGCTGTACGGAGTCATTAGAGATGGATTCCAGACCTTCCTTGATCAAAGTCTAAATATAGACAAAGAGAGAAAGAATCTCATTAACCCTTTCACTGTAAAATGGATTAAACTGAACCCTAAACTTTTACCTGAAGTGTATCCAAACCCAACAACAAGAATGTAATAAATTGCAGCTTGCCTGTCCTAAGATGTGGTGTGGTGGGACTGGAGTGGCTCTGAGTCTGCTGGGGCTGCTGACTTCACATCCAAGATGGCAGTGCCCAGCAGCTCATATATTCTTATTGGAACACTGCTTTTGAAATGAATGGTCTGAGGATAGGGTCTCTTTAATAAAGCCCAAAATCTCGGCATCCACTGGGATTTCATTCAAAAGGTAACATAAAAAGGTAAGCATGTGAGATAATACCCCGTGTTACTTTTACTGACATGACAGGTTCACTTTAAACATATGTGAAAGGAGAACTATGGGGTCAGGGCTTTTCCCCATAGTTCTCCTGAGGGTCGCGGGAGAACACAAACTAGCGTTCTCCCGTGACCCAAAGCTCTGTATACCGCGAGCTGCAGCTCGCGGTATACAGAGACGCCACAGCCGAAATGGATCCCGACAATTATGTCTGGATCCACCCAGCTGGCTCTGCCTATCTAGAGGCAGAGCCAGCTGTACCCGCCCCCTCCCCCGTCCGTTCCGCCAGTCAGCGCTGGAGGATCACCAGAGAGCCGTGACAGGATCGAGAGGTGAGCGAGCGCCGATATGTGTTCGCTCACCTCCCGATCTACTGAGCCGACCTGTGACAGTCTCATTGTCACAGGTCGGCTAGAACTATGCGGTGAGCGAAAAGCACCCCCCTCCCCCCCCCCCAATAGTTCTCCTTTAAACACATGAATTGCAATAATCAGCAGTGTGCAGAACTTGTCCGTGTGATGAGCGGAGGAGTCACCAACCTGAAGTCTGTCCAAGAACAGCTGCTGCATCAGATCCTCCCAGAAGCGGATCGGCCGATCCAGCAGCCGCTGGCACACAACGTCCCAATTCTGGCTCATGGACTCGCTGGTCAGCAGCTCCCAAATGGCGTCTCTGATACCCGCCAGACCCTTCAGGCTCTTCACATAGACCAGCAGAGCGGAGATACCCGACTTTATATCCTCATTGCACCTAGGGAGAAGTATACAGGATTTCAGGGCCCCTCTATGGCACATTGCACCCCTTAATCACCCACTGCCACACCAATGTTTCAGTTGTTGTTAAAGCTGAACCCCAACCTTACCTTGTTTACCCCTCCAGTGTTGGAACAGATTACTTTCAAATCAACCCCACACACACACTTTGTGAGAGAACGGGTCGCTCTCAGGATCTCAGCGACTACAAGCGTGGTACCGTGATAGGTTGTCACCTGTGCAATAAGTCCATCCGTGACATTTCCTGGCTACTAAATATTCAGCGCTCACCTGTTACTGGATTGGGTTTCCATGGCCGAGCAGCTGCATCCAAGCCGCACATCACCAAGTGCAATGCAAAGCGTGGGATGCCGTGGTGTAAAGCGCGCCGCCATTGGACTCTAGAGAAGGGGAGACGTGTTCTCTGGAGTGACCGATCCAACATTCCCATAGACACACTCCTAAACCTTGTGGACGCCTTCCCAGAAGAGGCGGAGCTGTTATAGCAGCAAACGGCGGAGCCAACCCAATACTGAACCGGACTAAGACTGGGATGCCATTAGAGTTCATGTGCGTGGAAAGACGTCCCAATACTTTTGACTCGCATGCACACACGCACAGTAAATGGGCAATCTGCTGATCAGTTGTTTGGCTATACTCAGAGTGTAATCAAGCAAGTGATCGGCAGATTGCACGGCTAAAGTCTAGAACCCACATCTATAGGTGCTTATACCTGTATACCTGAAGCTGGACAAAAGATCGGATGGCAGACTTGCAAATCTGGGAAACGGATGCCGAAAAGACCTGAAATGATCACTCACAGACCGAGTGGCGGGTACTTTGACAGGAAAAGTTGGAACCTGGTCCATTAATCCATACGTTTGTACGATGATCTGTCTGATGAGATGGTGCAGTGAGAAGCTGCTTCCCCTTTAAAGGGACCACCAGGAATGATAAAACGAGTCAGTTTTCCTAATGGAAGCAGGGGCAGAGCGGTAAACCTCACAGCACAAACTACTCTAGGCAGTAAAAAGAAACTGCGTTCTGGAGTGCCGGAACCGGACGGAACGCAGGAACTGATGTGCCACTCATTCAAGTGTGGGCGTGGCTGCGGTGCCATTGACTTCAATGCACCGCCACACCCTCTCCCGCCCCTGAATGCGGGGAGACGGCTGGGATGCCATACTGTGCGTTCCAGAGGCTGACCGATCTGGAACGCACTGTTTGTGGTGTGAACCGGCCCCGAAAGAGTTAGACGTCGATCCTCCTAGGACACCGGTACAAAAATGAAGCATGCTGGGAGCAGGAGGGGGGTGTGGCGGTGCATTGAAGTCAATGGCACCGAAGCCACACCCGAACACGTGGCACAATGGTGCCTGCATTCTGGTCCAGTGCGATCTGCAAATATAGCGCTACCTGGCTGGCCAACCTTTTTCTTTGCCGGTGTCCAAATCCTCCTGCAGGAGGCAGTATAACCCAACCGTGTCTGAATAACTGAATCCTGTGTCCCTCAATGAATGATCAGTGAAATCAGAACATCTCATCTGTAGACCTTCATGGAAAGCAACTCCAGGTATCAAAGCCAGTGACTGGTCATGGCCACTCCCACAAAGTCAATTCCAGGTCATGGCCACTCTCTAATGAAAGTTTTGACTCGTGGCTGGGGTGTGCACACGCGGAGCAGGTATGGGCTTTGCTCAGGGGTCTTACATGCTGATCCATTGCTGCAGAGTCTCCCTCAGGTAGTCCTGGTTGATGGGATGAGCCAGCGTCCTCAGCGTGGGCTGGAAGCCCACAACGGACTGCGGAAGGTGCTTAAACCAGCCGACAGATTTCATTTCCTCCCTCAGAACCTTAATACCTTTCCCTGAAAAATGAGAAGAGGAGACGTCACACAGATGTACCGCTGAGCCGGGGAAACCGCTGCTGACAAAGACGTGATGGAGAGACAGACATCGCAGGTCATATCAACCAAGACCAACAATCCCACCACCTTAAAGAGACCCTGTCACCATTTTGCAGGTAAAAGCACAGAGAAGTCCAGTATTCCAAAGATTATTTGCAGTGTTTTTACTTTCTATGAATTACTTTTTGTTCGCTTGCAACAGAGCCTTAGCTAGCTCCTTTTGCGCCTGAGGCAAGAACAGAAAATTGTGTCCCCCCGTTGTAGGGGCTTTAGGGGAAATATTAGGGGTCTAAACATGCCCCTGACATTTCCCTTTTGAAATAGAAAAAGAGATTGAGGACACAAAGTCCTCTGCCCATGCAGGCGGGGGAGAGAAACGGGGATCTGAGGAGAAGCTGGAGGCTGTGCCGCTCCTCTTCTCCCTGCTGAGCCGCAGCTGTGTTGGCTGCCTGGCGCCCCTGTTGCCAATGGCGCCCTGTGCTACCTTGGCAACAGGGGCGAGGGGGGCCGACCCTGGCTACGCCCCCTCTCAGCTGCGCCTGAGGCGAGTGCCTCACTCGCCCCATGGTAGCTACAGCCCTGGCTTGCAATGTTCCCTATGAAGTTGCTGAAAATTTGACTAATTCAGGAAGTGTCAAGTCCGTAGCCCAGCCCCCTTCTTACTTGCACGTCACAGCCCTGCCCTCTTCTGGGAGTGTCTAACTACTGTCTGTGCTGGCCCAGCTTCTCCATCCTTCCCTCCCTACTAGGGATGCTTCGATACCATTGTTTCAAGATACTTTCCTCCTCAAGTAAATCGCCGATACCAATTATCAATATCTTTTTTTTTTAGGGTCATGTGACAGTTTTTCTAAAACAATACAGACTTATGATTTTAGGACAGTGGTAGAGCGCCAGGGCCTGGCTGCAGCTGCAACCGCTACACCCCTAGTAGTTCCATCACTGACTCCAAGTTGTACAGGGACTACAAATCCCAGGAATACATTATACAGCAATGCAGAATACCACCAGCTATAGAGGACTACAAATCCCGGCAATACATTACAAAGCAATGCAGAAGGACTACAAATCCCAGCAATACCATTATACAGCAATGTTGAATACCACCAGCTATAGAGGACTACAAATCCCAGCAATACATTACAAAGCAATGCAGAAGGGCTACAAATCCCAGCAATACCATTATACTGCAATGCAAAATACCACAAAGAGGGCTGTGCGGGGTCTCACTAGGGGGCCTCACGGGCGGCAGAAGGGCTGAGTGGTTCCACAGTAAGGAGGAGATGTGCGGCAAGCACTGTAAACAGGCGTCACGGTTCACAAGAAGGCTGCCGAGGTCCCCAGCAAGATCGGGACCTTAGGCAGCCACTTCCATTAAACATTTTAAAGCAACGGTTATCGGTGTTTAGTATTGGTGCATCCCTACTCCCTACATACTGTTTTCTGTAGCAGTTGTAACTATATAGTAATGAAGGGGATTACTATAAAGTGTCGCTTCTGAGTCTGCTGACATCAAATCCAAGATGGTGGCACACTGCAGCAGTCTCAGGGATTTCAGATATCTACACATGGGAGGTCTTTGCAGGTAGCAAACATGACTATAATATGTGAAATTGACCTATCACTTTACCGGAAGACTGCTGATGGAATGAATGGTCTGGTGACAGGTTCTCTTTAAAGTGTATGCAATGCAAAAACTTTATTTTTAGTTTCAGATGGATCAGGAAAGGGTTAACACCTCCATCGGGTTAGTTGTAGCTGCCTGCATCCTGCCGGACAGATTTCACTTCACTTCCTGTCCTGAGGACACAACAGGAAATAAGAGAAATCTCTCCAAAGTGAACAGAATTCCCATCTTGAGTTGTCACCGCAGCAGGTGTCCCCATTGGAGGATTGTACCTAGTCTCTCGCTCTGGTGACAGGTCGGTATTTTCGGGATTTCCCCCTCGTTCTCTGTCTCAGTGGCGATGGTCACCGGGATGAACAGAGAGGGCGGATCTCCCCAGGCACAGCACGGCGACAAGAGACTTGACAAAGGCTTCACCCTCCTAATCCACCCGACACTAAAAAACAATGCTTTTCAAACACTTTCATCTGATATATTGATCACGATATGTTACAAAGTATCATCTGATCAATAATCAATCGTCAGCATAGAAAATGTTACACAAAATATAGGAAATCACACATGGAATTCGTACCTCCTCCTCCGTCCTGAGCCGTCACCGTCCCTAACATAGAGAATAAGAGGCCGGAATTCAGAGAAGGATTGGGCGGCACGTCACCCGGCGCCGTGTAGAAGAGGGCGTGGGCCTGGTACAGCGTATTCGCCAGAAGCTCCACCAGGGAACAAACCTGAGACTTGATGCTGGAGCCTGAAACCCAAGAAGAAGACAGAAAGGGTTAATTTCACCAAGCAGAGGCGTCACCCAGTGCAGGCCACACCCCCTTTGTGACACCAGGGTCACCAAGTCACATGACTCAACTTTGCATCACATGTTTTATGGACAACTTATTATTTGTATACATGTCGGGGCGAAAAAAAATTCAACTTATGCAGTACACGGACAGTTCCCCATATCTGACCTCCGTCCTTCCCCTTCAGTCTTCTGTCCGACCTCCGTCCTTCCCCTTCAGTCTCCTATCTGACCTCCGTCCTTCCCCTTCAGTCTCCTATCTGACCTCTGTCCTTCCCCTTCAGTCTTCTATCCGACCTCCGTCCTTCCCTTCAGTCTTCTATCCGACCTCCGTCCTTCCCTTCAGTCTTCTATACGCCCTCCGTCCGTC